TTAGGGTCTTTCAGCATTACTTAATGCTTACTACAAGAACGCATTCCAAGTTATTCTAAACTCTTTGTGAGCCCAGACTCATGAAAACACGTCTCAAACTACAGTCAATACCCGTGTCGGACAAAAATAATCTTTTGACGTTTGATTTTGACAGACAGCTAAATCCTTGTTAAAATATTGGAACCAAATTGCTTGCCACTGCTATCAAACTGCAAAATAGAAAAGACTAAAGTGCAGCTGTTATTTTCCTTATTTATGCAACCTCTAATAGCAAAGCGAATGATTAGTTGATTAAAATGACTGGAAAAAAAATTTGGGGTGCCCGAGCTCGTTAGTGAGCTATAGCCAGTTTTCAACTGACAGAACTCAATATCAAGGCAAATCTAGCCTGCGAACAGGCTCCCGGTGAGCCCGAACGAAGCTCGCTTCGCTGTCCGAATTCTTCTGTTTCGCGCTCGCCGAAGTTTTTTTTCCGTCCTCGCCGGGAGCCTGTTCGCAGGCTAAGGCAAATCCGCCATGTTTTCAATCTGCGCGTGCACGAGCGCGCGCGAATGACGCCATAAATTATGCGCATAAGGATACGCAATGCAAATGTGAGCAATCACCTTAAGGTGGCTCCATAGGGTAATCATTTATGGCGTTGAGCGCGCAAGTGTTATGTTTTAAATGCCGTTTCTTGCATTCGTTTTTACACCCAGTCCTCTCAAACTAATTATATGCAATAAGCAATGATTAAATAGTGTTTTACTATTATCTCTGTTAAAATTATTGGTTTTAGTCTTGAATTATAAATGCAAAAACAAATATGTTTTTTTTACAATTTTATGACTTTACTTGCGATTTTCTTGAATTTCCTTCAGTGAAATCTTCCCAGATTTTCACAGCATATCGCTTCCTGTGGGATACGAATTTTAAAGGCGAAAAACGTAGGGGTTGTAAAGGCAGGTTTTTCGATTTTTGCAAATTTACGTCTTTTATCGCTGCGAGAAAACTGGTCCTATAGATTTCCCTGAAAAACGA